CTGACTCCTCATTTGAAGGAAATCAACGGTGCACTTTTGCAGGGCTATTGGAATGTTTCCAGTCAAAGCAGTTAGTTGCTACAGCCTACCTTTTTAGAGAGATATTTTCTGTTACTGGTCCATTAAGCCGATATCTTCAAAGTATTGATATAGATTTTGGCCAGGCAGTCAACATGATTGATAGTGCCATTGCTCAGCTTGATAAGCTACGGGAAGAGCCATTGAAGATTGCAAAGACTTTGACCCTGTAGAAGTAGCGTGGAAATCAACGAGAATTCGAATCGCAGGATGATGGAGCAGATCAAGGATGACCCAGCTTTGACAGCGTCAGATCATTGGATTTGAGAGATATTTTATGTTTTAATCAATAAAGTATCCAGCGGAAAAACGAATCAATTCAAGAAGAGCAAACCTGGAAGCTTTTGTTTGTTTGTGTCAGAAATCGCTTAGCCAGCCTAACTTCTGACTACCCGTTAGATTAAAACTCGTTAGAAAAAACAATTGATTAACTTAAGAGGACTGTATTAGGTAAATCTGTATAGATATCATAGTCTAGAGTGACATAGATTTTACTCACATGTAGATTTTACCCTAGCATAGGTAGCATCTAAAATAGAGCCTATGGTGTCTCTCGACCGAATGAAGTCTGAAACGAATTCCTACTGAATATATAGCGATATAAAGGATTAATTTAGCTACATTACATCACTAAGGATTACATCATATGGCGCTGTTGGCCCTATGCCGCTAGGTTACACACACGCCTCCAGCTAAATATTTATTATCTACGTACTAAATACCATAAAAACAAATACAAACAACCAGATGATTCTAAAATACCCTAGACGTAATCAGGTTGCCTAATAGATAAAAATAAATCCAAACACAAAAGAGGAAAAATGCGATTAATATACTTTCTTCATTCAAAGTCATTCAACTCTATCAGTAGCCAATTACCAATTCACGATACACCACCCCCAAATCAAAGTTAGGTTTGATTTTCTTCTTCCAGCATCTGAGTCGCTTTGATCACACTCTTCGCATGCTTTCCGTTTTGGCCTTGCGTCGGCTACTTCTCCCGTTTCCCGCGTTTCTTGAACCCTCTTCTCATCCGAATCTGCTCTAAGTTCCAAAGGATACAAGTTCTGAACAGGTCGATCTATTTCGTACGTTCTGCCTCTTGTGGTAGTCTTCAACGTAACACCCCTTTCAATGCCATCTCTACCGCAGATTATGTGAAGAACCTTCCCGAGCTTCCATTTGTTTCTCGTTAAGTTTTCATCCTTCACCAATACAATGTCTCTAACCGTTATTTCGTTGCACCCTCCGTGGTGTATTTTGTGGTATTCTCTGAGACTGGTTAAGTATTCTCGTGACCACCGCTTCTAGTACTTCTCTCTGCACTTCTGAAGGTACCTTAGTCTCTTTCTTGCTGGGATCTTGTCTTCGTCGCTGAATATCTCTTCCTCTCTGATTGGTTTGATTCTCCAGCCATGGACAAGATGGTTAGGAGTCAACACTTCGTCATCTAGCTGATCCGTTTGGTAAGTAAGTGGCCGGTTGTTTAAGCAGAACTCGATGTCCAGCAGAACTTCTTGTAACTCGCTAACCGTAAGATTCGCTAGGCCAAGGGTCTTCTTGAGAGTAATTTTCACCATCCCGATCATTCTCTCGAAGAAACCGCCCCACCATGGGGAACTCGATAGGTTGAATCTCCAGTTGATCTTCTGCTCTTGAAGTAAGTCTTGGACCCTTTCATTTTTAACTATTGACTGAAGCCATCTTGCAGTTGCTTAGAACGTTTTGGCGTTGTCCGATACTATTAGCTGCGGTGTTCCCCTCCGAGTCATCAGTGACTTTAGGCTTTTCCTGAATGTTTTAGCTGTTAGATCCTCTACAAGTTCGATGTATACGGCTCCTGATGTAGCACAGGTGAAGAGAGTAATGTAGCTTTTCTTCTGTCTCCTTCCGTCTTTGCAGTAGAAAGGTCCAGCGAAATCAACGCCTGTAGTTAGGAATGCGTAGCCAGGTGTCACTCTGAAGTCAGGAATTGGGGCTGTTGCCGGCTGTTCATAAGGCTTTGCACTGTAGCGTTTGCAATGGTTGCATGATCTGATCATCTTTTTTACTTCTTGCCGTCCTTTAGGCACCCAAAATCTGCTCCTAATCTCTGCCAGTGTAGATGCCACCCCCATATGCAACACTCGTCTGTGAGAATCCATAATCAAAAGGCTGGTGAGGTGGTGCTGTTTCGGCAGATAGATCGGTTGCTGATCTTCGTGCTGTTGGAATCGTCCAAAGCATCTTAGTATACCGTTTCCATCAACTCTGAGGCCAAGCTGGTTTACTTGTTCGCTTGTTGGCTTGTGCTGATTCTGAATATCCTTGATCCAAGCATCTTCTGCTGCTTTGATTTCTCTGATAGTCAGAGCTTCCGCTGTTTCTAGTGATCTTCCTTTCAGTTTGTTTACAAAACGCCAGATCCAGGCTGTTATTCTGAAAAGTTTCTTCCCACTGCTGTACTTTCTTGGATCTATGAAGCTGCTTATTCCCAGGGTCACTTCGGTTGTTGCTATAACTGCTGTAGCTTGTCTCATCTCCGCTTTGGCTTCTTCACTCGCTATTGCTTGAGGTTGGGTTTGCCAGTTTTCTCTTTTCGTGAGCCATGTCGGTCCTTCCCACCATTTGTCACAATGCTGTAGTTTAGCTGCAGTCGTTCCTCTCGTTCCAAGGTCTGCTGGGTTGAACTCAGTAGGGCAGTACATCCATTTCACCTCTGCAGCCAGAATCTGATCGACTCGTTTACGAACGAACTGCTTCCATTCACCATTGTTTTCAAGCCAGCAAAGTACGGTTTTACTTTCCAGCCATCCATAGGTTTGCGATACATCGAGTTCCAATACTGATTTCACGTTCTGAATCAATTTGGTTAGCATCTGGGCACCGATTAGTTCTAGTCTTAGTACCAATGTGTTGGGTTTGGCTACTCTTGCCTTCGCTGTGAGCTGCTTCACATAAGTTCCAGTTGATTGTGTAATCTTCAAATAGATCACTGCACAGCATGCTGCTACACTCGAATCTGCGAATCCGTGGATTTCGATGCTTTCAATTCGTTCTTATGAGTGTGCAATTAAACATCTATCGAATGTGAGAACTGGGTGATCTTTCAAATTCGCCAGCCATTTCTTCCACCGTTTGAGTAAGTCTGCTGAAATCTCTCCATCCCAACCAAACTTTCGCATACACACTTCATGGTAAATGATCTTTGCCAAGATAGTGATGGGGCTTGCACTTCCAATTGGATCGTAGATCGCTGCCACGGTTCTTAGAATTCCTCGTTGTGTAGGTTCATGTTCCATTGTTGAGACTTTTCCGAAGCTGACACCCATGACGTCGGTTTCTTGATTCCAAGTGACTCCCAAGACCTTCTCTTTTGCATTGTTCCTGCTGGTGCTGCCTGTCCGTGGTTGCGTCTCAGTCTGTTTGCTGTATCTTGATGTTGGAGTAATTTGGTCTCTCAGTTTTGACACATTTGACTTCCATTTCCTCATGTTGAAGTGACCGTTTTTAAATCTTACGATCAGTTTCTGCTTCAATCTGCTGACTGCATCTGTATTTGCTCCTCCACAGACCATATCATCCACGAACAGGCTCTTTGTGACACGGTCAACAAATTCAGGGGCTTTGTATTGCTCCATGTGCTGTCTGATGGTAGCACCAAGAAGGAAAGGGCTGGGGCCTGAACCAAAGTTCACCCGGGTGAAGCGCAATTCTTGTATCTCTGAATCTGCCTTCGAAACATGTTTAGGCCACAGGAATCTCATAGCGTCCCGGTCTTCTTTGTCAACTTTGATTTGCAAAAATGCTTGTTGAATGTCCCCAAGCAGTGCCACTGGATACATCCGGAACCTGATTAAGATGTCGTAAAGGAGCGGCTGTAGAGGAGGTCCAATGTGAAGGCAGTCGTTCATTGACTTGTAATACTTGCGTTCTTTCGCTGAGCAGTCATACACAATTCTTAACTTTGTCGTCTCAGCTTCTCTATGGATCACTGCGTGGTGTGGTAGGTAGTGGACATGCTTGCCATCTGGGTTTTCTGGTACAGGCTCTACTATACTGTCTTTCAACTGTTGCTGAATGACGTCATCATATGTCTTAAAATCTTCTGGCGATTTCTTCAGTTTCTTGAGCTGTCCTGTCAATCGTGCCTGACACATCTGTTTGTTGCTGGGCAAGAAAAAGTTCCCCTTCTTCCAAGGAAGCTTCACTGAGTATCTGCCTTCCTCATCCCTTGAGATGCTGTCTTTAAACTCTTCAAAGACATCTTCACCGCTATCTTTAATGCCGAGAACATCCAAGTCATGGAGCTGTCTGAAATCGTAGTGGACGGATCTCGGCTGCTCGATCATCAGGTTTGCCACGGACTGTTTTGCGTTTGACTGCTGGTCTTGAATCGCTCCCATTAGAGTCCATCCCAGTATGGTTTCTTCGGCCATCGGTTCGTTATCATTTCCCTTGATCATTTTTCCAGTTCTGATGTGGGCATAGTCTCTCACTCCAAGTATGGCATGGATCGGTAGGCTGTCTTCTTGGGATACATCTGAGAACCATATTCCTTCTAGATGAGCAAACTTCTGCCTCTGTTTTTCTGGATGAGCGTTCGGGACCGAGGTTAGCATGTAAAGATCCAACTCCGCGAATTCTGTTGAGAATCTGTTTCCATTTGCCTTGCCAACTCCAGCAACTTCAAGGTTGTAGACTGGGCACTTTACCTCTTTTTCCCCGTTTACTGTGCCAATGATTCGATTTTCGGTGCGAACTGGGTTTCCTGCTATTTTCCTGCCATGCTCTCTGCTGATATATGACTTGCCACTTCCTCCATCGAGTAGAATGCGACACCTTTGCATCCGACTTTGGCAATGACCGTCTGATAGGCTGCTGGACCACTCTGTATATGTCCATTATGATCTCTAGTTGATCAGCAGAAGGTCGGCTGGCTTCAGATCTGGGACAAATCGAGGAATGGTGTTTCCCTTTGCAGTGATAACATAGATTCCGGCTTTTGCATTCTCTGAGGGTGTGGTTGTTTCTTGTGCAATTGAAACACCGCTTCTGGTTCTGAAGGATTGATTTTCTTTCCGCCACACTACTGACGTTGGTACATTCAAAGGCTTTATGGCTACCCTTGCAGTAAACGCATTCATTCACCTGTGTTATTATTGTCGTATTCACCACTTGCCGTCTTGATGATGATGGTTCAAATCTTAACGTCTCTGTTGGCTCGATTTCTTCACACGTCTTCAAGTAGATCCACAACCTTTCTAAGAATCTGGTGAAATCCCATTTCGTCCAACTTCTGTCATCTTTCGTCAGCTCGTATCGAATAGGGCGTGGCAACTTCATCACGGTTTCTTCCACCAGACACATCACGTGTGCTTCGTACCCCATGGATCTCAAGGAGGCAAAGTTGATCGAAACATCTTCGTAGAATCTCCTCAGTTGTTTCAGATGGTGGGCGTTGGCAACTGGCTGGACTTCTCGAATGGCCTTTATGTGCGCACTTCTTAGTCTTGTATCATCTCCGAATTCTTGTTGGAGTAGATCAATAGCCACTTCGTAGTTTTCAGCTGATAGGGACAACCCTCTGATGACAGCAGATGCTTTATCAGTAGTTCTCTCAACTATGAGAATTTCGTTGTAGCTTCCAAAGAACTTGAATGGATGTTGTTTTTGAACTGTTCCCAGAATTCCCTCCACTTCAAAGGTTCTCCAGCGTATGCGTTGATCTGCAGCTTTGGAGGCTTGGCATTCTGTTGGGCCACCACGTTAGTTCTGATTTCTGGTGCTTTCTTCTTTTCAAGTCTCTGTAGTGCGTCTTCGATGTCTGCGATCATGTCTCCGTGTGCGTCCAAATCGGATTCGCTTCTGAAGTTGAACTGAGCCACCTCTTCGCAAGACACACCCATCTGTATCATGTACTCACTGATTTGTTGATTCAGTTTCTTCAACGAAACTAGCTTCTCTTCGATTCGTTTCTTCATTCTTCTTAACTCTGATGGCCGGTTTCGCTGGAAAACGTCGTCCACTGTATCTAGAAATAGGTCCAACGTCTGTTTCGCCACATCTCGCATTTTTCGGCTCTCATCTAGTAAGATCTCAGGGGTCTTGATACCAAACATCATTGCTGGTGATTGCGGATAGATTTCTTCTTGTTCTCTCTGCTCAGACTCTTCTCGTTGTTGTAGTTCTTGATTTTCTTGTTGTTGAGACATCTCATTCCTTTCCTTATATCTGGCTTGGTGGGTCAAAATGTCAGAAATCGCTTAGCCAGCCTAACTTCTGACTACCCGTTAAATTAAAACTCGTTAGTAAAAACAATTGATTAACTTAAGAGGACTGTATTAGGTAAATCGAATAGAGACTGTATAGATATCATAGTCTAGAGTGACATAGATTTTACTCACATGTAGATTTTACCCTAGCATAGGTAGCATCTAAAATAGAGCCTATGGTGTCTCTCGACCGAATGAAGTCTGAAACGAATTCCTACTGAATATATAGCGATATAAAGGATTAATTTAGCTACATTACATCACTAAGGATTACATCATATGGCGCTGTTGGCCCTATGTCGCTAGGTTACACACACGCCTCCAGCTAAATATTTATTATCTACGTACTAAATACCATAACAACAAATACAAACAACCAGATGATTCTAAAATACCCTAGACGTAATCAGGTTGCCTAATAGATAAAAATAAATCCAAACACAAAAGAGGAAAAATGCGATTAATATACTTTCTTCATTCAAAGTCATTCAACTCTATCAGTAGCCAATTACCAATTCACGATAGTTTGCCCCTAGTCGCGTTCCTCACCTCCTGCTACAATACAAGGCCTCCCGTGATCTCCAGAAAGCCTTTAAGGGTTTTTGCAAGGCATACAAGCTGGAAAGTTACAGGTGTGCTGAGGAGCTTCTCGCTTTTTATAAAACATTCCCAAAGTTCAATTGTATTTGCCAAGATGAGGATGAGTACAACACAGACCTTGCTAGTGATGCTGATGACGGTTCTCTGCAATCTTTGGATGGAAGTGATGCACACAATGGGCCTGTGAGGGTTGCCAATAACGACAAAGCACCAAAGAAGAAAGCTCAGAAAAACCAGAACAAAAGAATTTACCCGTTCTGTTGGCTTTTCTACTTTTCTAATGACACCAAGATGCTCCATTCTTTCTAATTCTTCTCTAAATTTATCATAGAGTGAAAATGGTACATTTCTGTAATACTCAGAAATCACTGGCACAGCATCAGCAACTTATTCAATGTTCACAATACTTGGTAAACACTGCATTTCATCTAATACGTCTTTGACAATCTTTATGCAGTCTTTTTTGTGACTGGTCTTCCTTGACGTAGCCTCCACATTACATAATCTCAGGCAACTCCCGCGGCTATATTGTTTCTGGTCATCGAGTTTCCTCTGAAGATTTTCAACAGACTTGAGTTTGCATTCAAGATCGGCAATATTTTCCTCAAGCTTGATAATCAGTTTGTCACGTGAAACAAGCTGCTATGTCATCTTTTTCTCGATTTCTAATGTCATCTTTGCTATTGCATTATCAAAGAGGTCTTTGCTTGGTAAGTCAATAATAGCATCTCTGATTGGAGTAAGCGCGTCTTCTACGATCGCCTTTAGACGTGTTAAAGGCCCTGTTTTCAACTTTTTTAAAGAAGTGAAATCCTAGCCTCCAGAATACTACCGAAATTATTACATGAAATAAAACAAGGTAATTGAGAGTTTGACATTTTGATAAAGTTTATATTCATATTCCACTTATGCCCTTCTTTTGCTATGGGTCAACGATCACAGCATGGTGACACGTAGATTACCCCCATCACCGCCATGAGTAGTTTTGATCACCAACCAAAAGTTGGTGAACATTGTAGTGCACATATTGTCCACAGCTGTATTATCACCATTCATTTGTGCCAAATTTTAAAGCGAACACCAAGCTCAGTACTAAGTCAATTGTAATATTAGGCTAGCTGTTAGAATACATGTGTCAATTTTTGTTCCTTATTTTGTACTTTTGGTGTTAATTTCAGGGTTGTAAGTGTTAATATATATTCAAAATTTATTATCGTTTTGTGTACATGCCAACTAAAATAAAGATACAAAAAATAACAACATCCCACCTTTTAGGATTCAGCAACCGGAATCCAGATTAAGCCTGGTTTCCATATAGCCGTAAGGTGCCGGTACCACTTGCCTGTACCGTCGGTAACGGTATGCCTCAGCCATTTCAATTTATATGGAAACCACTTTTCAAATTGCCTGTACCATCGGCAACGGCAGCCTCAGCCACCTCAATTTATATGGAAACGTTTTTTCTAAGTGCCGCCGGCAGTCTCAGCCATGGTAATTGAGGTGCCGGAACGACCTTGAAAAGTTGAATTATTTTCAACTTTTTCCGATCCTTATGGCATGGCACCGGCAGCCGCTACCATGAAATTTCATATGGAAACGCATACCTTGCCGGTAACTATGCCGGTATCTAAGTAGAACCTCGGCAAGCTATTGTTCTCATGTTCTCTTTTGTTAATGGTAACCAATCAAGATAGGCTTATGTCAGCCTCAGTTTCGAGTTAAAAAATTTTTTTCAAAAAGTATTTCGCGAAGTTTTGCTCAAGAAGAGAGATTAAAAGCACTACAGCAAAATATCTAGTGTATTTTGATAGGTAAGAAATGGCAAGCCAAAAGGAAGGGGATAATCTGGAAAGTATTTATATTGATAATGAAGCATTAATGAGTTGTGTTCGCAAATACCCCGCTCTATATGACAAGGGCTGCAAAGATTACAGAATGCCCCTGAAAAAACGGAATGCATGGAAGGAGATAGGTTTAGAATTAAGCATTGATTGGAGGGAGGCCCAAACCCGCTATAATAGCATTAGGACAAATTTTTCCAAATACTTAAAACGACAAAAATCTGTCAGGTCTGGCTCTGGTGTGGCTGATGTTCCTGAGATAAAGCCAGAATATGAGCACCTTCGGTGGCTGCTGTGGTATACAGCACCGGGCAAGCACAACAAATTTTAAGAGGAATCCAAAAGCTACAGGGCCAGGGGTTCATGATCAATTCAATGTTGAGGCATGCACTGAAGTCTCTAATCAGATGCATGTGGAAGATGACATAGATACTAGTCATGAATTAGATGAAGCAGAGAATTTTAATGCACACAGCCCAGGAAACAATAGTAGGATATCAAATGGTGATATTGCTCTGGAACCATTAACTTCACCCATCTCATGCAGTTCTGGTGCACAAGAAGAGAGTAAGGGCTCCCCATTACAAATTAGTATTGAAGAAGGGCTTAATTCTTCTGCATATGTCACTGGAGAGCACAGCAGTTTAAGTTCACAGAAAAGAAGATGATGAATTTCCTGTGAAAAGGCAGAGAAATGAGAGGCAAAAGAAAGGAGCATGGTCAAAAGATAGCAACAAGCAGACATCTGGTGTAGAAATTGAGAAGGGATTGATTAAAACAATGACCAGTTTACAATGGGCAATAGAGAATGAGACAGAAAAAGCAAAGCCTGTTAACATTGATGACGAATCTGATGAGGATCGTCATTTCTGCCTAAGTTTAGTTGGATTATTGAAGGATTTAGAGCCCCATTATAAGACCATGGCCAAATTCCAAAAAATGAAAGTGTTTAATGATATTGCAGTCACCAAAATATCAATGGAGAAGCGCTATGAAAGCCAACAATATAGCTATCCAATGCAGAATTACAATAGCTCTAGTTGCACTCCATACATGCAGCACTCTTACATGAGTTATCTAAGTCAGTCAATGCAACAGAAACAACCTGATGAAGGTGACAAGCATCAAACCAATTTGACATCTTTGTGATACTGAAAGCAATATTAGCTTAAAAACTTTTCACATTTGTTAAATCTAGATACTTTTTAATGCTTTAGCAATTCTATCTATATTGGGTCACTTTAGGACAAATTTGGAATTGATAATTGGAACTGGGTCAAGTCTCCAAAGATAAAATTAGAGATGTACCTGTTATTGCATCTAGATTTCTGGGTACTCTTTGATGCCTAATAGACATCTCCCCCACTTAACAATTTTTTAATTTTTTCCACCCAGGACATTCTTATTCCAACCCCAGGCTATTACATTTTTGAAATACAATCCGCCCAAGACAAATATCAGAATTATATTTTTTGATAATTGCATTTCTCACTAGAATTATATTTCAGCTTTTCCTTTTTTGAAGTTAAACATTTTTGACATTCTCGAGAAGATGTGAACAACTGGAAAACTTTTTATTAACAAAAACTTTTTCATCATATTTTGCTCATATTTTCTGTTTTATTACAGTTTCGTTGGTATGTTATAAAAAATTTCATCCTTAGAAATTATTGCTATCTCCTGCCCCCCGGCTATTAAGTTTCTGGGAATTTTCCAACCCCCCCAGCTATTCCATCCCACCCACTTATTATGTTTTGGAGATTTTTCCAACCCCCCCCTGCTTATTCCAACCCCCCTTCTATTAGGCACCAAAGGGCACACAATCAAATTTTTTCAGAACTGATAGGGGGGATGATATTAGATGGCCTGTATGCATTTAAAATCAGTGATTACCTCACTGGAACTTTGGTGTAGGTGTTGAGTGACCTAATACTGGTAGGAAAGTAAATATGCTTTATTTTTTATCAACAGTTTGCTAGAAAATGTTTAGTTCTTTTTACCACAGCTTGTTACATTCTGAAGCTGCCAAGACACTGAGCCAGGCTCACTTATAAAGTAATTTTTAAAAGTTTCTCTGATCAACTTGGCATTAATTGTGTAGTTATTGCTACCAGCTCTTTTAACAGGCTTTAGAGCTGACTGGTCTTTCTCCACCAATGATCGCCAGGTACCTGGTATCAGATTGCCACTATTGTCTTCAGCATCTACAAAGCCTTTGGGTGCATAAAATGCATTATCAGTTTGCATCAAATAGTTCTGTAAGCAAACACAAGCTTTTGTTATATTTTCAACAGTTGAAACACTTGCCCGGATAGACCTTCTGAGAATCCGCCATCTAGCTGCCAGTATGCCAAATGCATTTTCAATAGTTCTTCTACACCTTGACAATCTATAGTTATAGATCATCTTCCCTACATCTAGATTTTGTCCAGGAAATGGTTTCATCAACCAGGGCTCCAGCTTGAATAGTTCATCAGAAACAAGAACATATGGTAGAGTCAAACCATCAGTGGTATCTGGTTTGGGGATATCCATTTCTCCCTCTTTGAAAGCCATACCCATCTCTGAACCCCCAAAAATTGAGGCATCGTTGTCTCCTCCATACCCTCCTATATCTACAATTGTGAAGCAATAGTTAGCATCACATACAGTCATTAACACAATGCTGTGAAACGCTTTATAGTTAAAAAAATTTGACCCTTGATTTTTTGGGCACTCCATTGCTACATGCTTCCCATCTAGAGCACCAATGCAATGGGGAAAGTTCCATTCTCTCTCAAAACCTCTAGCAATTTCCTTCCAATCTTCCTCTGTGTCTGGTGCATTGAGATATTTCGCATGTAACTCTGTCCAAAGTGCTTTGCAAGTATCACGAATGATATGACACACTGTAGCCTTGCCAACACGAAAATTGAAAGAATGTGACTGCTGTGAGTCCCCAGTGGCCAAGTATCTGAGAGTGATAACAAGGCGTTCTGATGGCGAAATGATTTGACGACTCCTACATTTTTTCTTTCCCAAACGGGGTCCAACGAGTGTTAATAAATGTTGAAATCGCTCAGGTGACATTCTTAGGTATCTAAAACATATGCAGAAAAGTTTGAGCTGCAATCAATTGATGGTTATTTTATGTCAATCATAATGATCGAGTTCAAGAATACAGCAATAAGCCTTATCTGAACAAGTACTCTGTAATTTCTTATTCAAATTTCTACAGGCCAATTATACTTTCATGTTTAGAATAAATAATACATAATTGACGTGTAAGTTATTTGCAATGTCCTAAAAAGGAAGTTGACCAAATAAGTGAAACACAGGTTGAAATTTGGCAAATATTTTCAATGGACGCTAATGTATGTTTGTAGGGGACTTACCTGTAAAAATACTCTCTATCGTGAATTTCCATTTCACAAAACAATGTGTGAAATTGACCAAAGTTCAATCGCTGCTGGAATATTTTTCTCACCCAGAATTTGTGCTTCCTTTTCACTCTTTGGTTAGCACGTCGTAATCGCATATACCCAAGAAATACAAGAAGTAGGCCTTTCAATAAGAATTTTTTATTCACAGGGGCAGCCATTTTCGAAAAATAATTTGCCGAATTGAAAAAGCGCGCGCAACTTTACATAGTTACCGGCATAGTTACCGGCAAGGTATGCGTTTCCATATGAAATTTCATGGTAGCGGCTGCCGGTGCCATGCCGTAAGGATCGGAAAAAGTTGAAATAATTCAACTTTTCAAGGTCGTTCCGGCACCTCAATTACCATGGCTGAGACTGCCGGCAACACTTAGAAAAAACGTTTCCATATAAATTGAAATGGCTGAGGCATACTGTTACCGACGGTACAGGCAAGTGGTACCGGCACCTTACGGCTATATGGAAACCAGGCTTTAGAGCTCGTGTTTTCAGCTTACCCCTTCAGCCAAACCAAGATCTTTTTTATAATTACAAGTAAAACTCAGAATAGAATTGAACTGTAAAAAGCTTACAGCCTCAGCAGAATTATTTTATGTCATGATAAAATTCTATAACTACTATGAAGAGTGGTTTTAGTTTTAAAATCAAATCATTGTACAGATTGCTTGTTAAGATTTCAGGGTAAATTAGCTTTGAATAAGAATGTATTCTTGATATGTTTCCTTATTGATTTTTATTCTATTTCAATATTCTATTAATTGGGCCAAAAATGACATGGACCCTTGAGCATGACACACTGCTCTGTAGAGAAATCCTTGTCGAGGAGCCTTACCAGTTTAAAATGCATACTTGGGAGCATGGTCACAGTTGGGATAAGGTGGTCACTAATTTAAATAAAATCGGCCAACCACATTTTATGGTAGACCGAAGGGAAGCTCGGGACTGTTTTTTGAAGTTGGAGAGGAACTTCAAAAGAAAGATGGCAGAGGAAGAGTCTGCTAGTGGTATCAGTCCACCAGAACCCACTGGACTGGAGCAAGCAGTTCAAGACATTATTGAAAGGTGCACTGAGGCACAAGCTGTTATGTTAAGGTTTGAAGGGAAAGTAGTTGAAAAGGAGAAGGAAACTGGAGAATCGATCTGAAAGCCATCCATGGAAAGGTTGGCCAGAGGAAAGAAAGGTCAGGAAAGAGGAAAGAAAGAAAAAAGACTGATTGGGACAAGGATACTGAATTGATGCATTATATGAGCGGAAAGGTTGAGAGACAGACGGAACTAAAAAGCGAAAAGTTTGAATTAAGAAGAAGAGATATTGAGATAAAAGAAAAAGAAAAGAAGCCTAGCAAAACGAGACATGAAAAACAATGCGACATAACACTCAACTTCGAAAAACAAATAACAAACCATCAGCGTTTCAATGTTTGGCAATTGGCTTATAAACAATTTCATAAGTATATGCAGACAATATGATCGACCATCTTTGCAATCCACTTGCAATTATAGTTGGAATACCTTTCTTCGATCCAAAAATTGTTACAAGCGGCTTATGATCGGTAACTAACTGAAAGGTATGTCCCATAAAAATTGATGAAATTTCTTCACGCCAAACACAATGCTTAATCCTTATCTCTCTATTTGCCAATAATTCTTCTCTGCGGGTGTTAACGACTTTGACGCATAGGCTATAGGGCGTTCCTCTCCACTTGGCAAAACATGAAACAACACTGCACCAATTCCAGAACCACTTGCATCACAGGCAAGTCCTAAAGGCAGGCTAGGTTCGAAATGCACTAGTACTGACTTAGACATCAGATCATCTTTTGAACCATTAAAAGCAACAGATCTTTTGGCAGTCCAGTTCCATGTCATACCTTTCTTCAACAGCTCATTCAAAGGACCTGCACGCGCAGATAACTGAGGCAAGAATTTGGCAAAATAGACAACCATTGCTAAAAAACTCCTCAGCTCAGTGACATTTTTGGGCTCAGGAATTTCTTTATGGCTTCTTTTTTCTTTGGAGATGGATGAATACCTTCACGTGAAATAATATGATCAAGTGTAACAACAGAGCCAGTGTCAACTTCCAAAGTAACTGGGTGTCCGTTAATTAAAGATTCAACTTTTGGAAATGGTTTCAAACTTTCAGCAACATGATTTGTTTCTTTTGAGTCAACAGATAATGTTTCAAAATCCAAGGTTTCTTCTGAAATATGCTTGACATGGTTCTGCGAGAACTTACGAGGGACACAAGAGGCCCTGCAGTTTCTTGCAAAATGTCCCTGGTACCACAATTATAGCATTTCACTGATTTAGTTCCACTCGAAAGATTTCGTCTTTCTTTAGAAACTTCATTCTTTTGAGCTTTCGCTTTCTTTCTTCCCGGCCTCAGTGTGTGAACATCGATAGACCCTCTCTCTGCAAAAGTGTTTAATTGATGAGCAACTTTCTGTGCAGCTCCAGCAGCTTTCATTATTTCGACGGCTCTCGTGACGGTCAAAACTCCAATTTCTTGCAATGATCGGCGTTGCCATGCTTCGTTATTCAAGCCAAAAACAAACTGATTCCTTAGCGACTGAAGTAATGGTGTCAAGGCTGCATCTGTAGAAGCTGTAAAATCGCATGTTTTTGCTAATCTTCTCAGTTCTGCTTCATATTCAGCTATGGACTCATTTGGCATCTGCTTTCTGTTATAAAACTTAAAGCGTTCGGCCATAACCAAAGGTTTTGGTTTGTAGTACTTCCTCAAGACGTCTAGGAGCTCCTCTAATCATTTTCCTTCTGGTTCCTCTGGCGAACAGAGGGTGATCAACTTCTCGAAAGCATTACATCTGACGAAAAGCAAGAATTGGTCCGTTTTCTCCCTCTCAGCGACTTTGTTCACTCTCCAAAAAAGATTAACGCGCGTCACATAGCAGTCAAAGTTCTCTTGTTCATTGTATTCCCCTGGATTTTCAATGTATTGCTCTCTCCGTGGCTGAGAAGCTTGTCCAGGCTGTGCAGGACTATCATCATCAGACATTTTCGAAAGAAAAACTGTCAACTGCGCCAAAATTTTATGTTTCCTTAAAATATGGCCTAGCAAAAAGAGAACTTCAAAGAACAAATAAAAACTGTTGTAAACAACTATGAACAAGCATAAAGTCTATTCTTGTTATTCTGTTTAAACGGTTAACAATAACACAATCATCAAATCTCCCCTCTTATCCTTGGCGTATCCTTGTCAGACTTGGAGAAACGTCTGACATTATCAAGAGAGGCAATGAATGCATAAATCAATGCCAAATGCACTGCTCTGTTATCATACCATCTTACAACAGTAACACCTGAGTTGAAATCCATTGGTCCACCATGTGAATCTCTGCCTTTTATTTCAAGATCTTTCTCTGATTTCAACTTGCATTCACGGATCCTATTTGCTCACAATGTGCCAAATGCCCAGATCTTTTTCTCATTCAACTTTACCAATAACTCCAGGTAATTAAAGAATTTTACAAAGAACAGCTTGTGATTTTGGTTCTTTGGCAAATGATGACAAAGTCTCATAACAACATCAGCTCAATGATACAAATTCTCATAACAGCATCAGCTCCATGATATCCTAGCTTCTCAACAGACACATGATCTGGATTTTGAGCCCCATCCAGTTCAAGATCATAGCAGATCTCATTTCTGGAGAAGATTTAATAGATCATATTGTGGCCGTGCATGAAATTCGAACTATTAATTTAGAAGGTTGTAAATGAACGATCTCACCAAGCTATGTTTACTGTGCCTTAGGCCATCGACTCACAGAAAACAAACCATCTTGGTTTTTCTGTTACGTCTTTTCTCCAGCGAAATGAAAACTAATTCTTTACAAAACTAGGTGTATAGACATAAAACGAGTGGAGGCGACAAGGGTGTTGTAGGCAATGGAAGGTGTGAATGACAAGATTACAATGGGAAACATGAATACCTTTAACATTTATATACAAGCTGAATACAACATTTAACCGAATACAAGCTGAGTTATTTTTGGAACCTAAAATGACATTTACATACTCTCTGCCAAGCCCTTACTTGAAAATACCAAGGTATGTCCCTCGGATGAATAGAAAATATTATATTACCCTGCCAAAGTACGTAATTACTTTCTATCTTGTTTGTTTGAAACCATAAAAAAGGACAAGCACAGCTTGTCAAAACTAAGAAAAATCAGTGTAATACCAACCTCAATCAGATCACACTTGGCCCTCTCACAAAATCTTGTGACTTTAGAAGATCTTGGATCCAGGTTGTTGTTAGAATAGTGTGCCCCAAGATCTCTGCGGAAGAATGCTTCAGGCTTGTCTACTGCAGGGCCTTGTCGGTCATGTTTGCCGTTCGTACATCATCACTGTGGATGCCTTATATGACGATAACCACAAGATCCATCAATCATATGCTCCACAAACAGGCATACAACAGCCCCTGAGCTTCACTCTCGCTCGAAACCAAGCCTGCGCTTGCTAATATAATACAAGACTATCTGCAAAATCAGCACGTTATAATGGCCAGTGTTGGGGCCCAGACCATCCTTGGTATCCTAAGACCCCACACAGTTATTGTTATTACATTCGGTAGTGTAATACGTGCCGAGATACACGGCGGCATGTAGAGTTTTAATTATAATGTTGATTTTATATTTGATTAAAAGCAGTAGTAAATAACATGTTTTGAATCTCAATACCTAATAAGGACAAACGTATGGAAAATATCAATCGACAAGTCTCAGTGAACATGATTATCTAAGTTGAAACTCGTAATAAGTTAGTTAGTTGGTTGGAGTAGAGTTGAAGTAATGATGGTGATCGGCGAAAATGTGAAACAGAATATTGATGGATTTGATACAAAATAGTTACACAAAATGGTGATATTTCTCTGAGTCTTCATCTTACACTTCGTTTATCATTAAATAT